CAGAGGTGAAGTGAATAACGTTGATTATCTCATTACAATGGCATTACAATGGAACATGGAACATATGGAAGTGGGTGAGATATATAAGGCAGCAAGTGAAAATGTTGCCCCTGAAATCGATGAGTTGGAAGCAGAAAAAAATGGGCAAGTGTAAGGATTTGAGCGACTTTGACAACGGACAAAATGTGATGGCTAGACGATGGGTTAGAACAATTCCGGAACTGAAGCTCTTGTGGGATGTTCCTGGTCAGCATCAGGATGTACCAAAAGTGGTCCAAGGAAGGAAACAGGTTAACTGGTGATAGGGTCATGGGTGGCCAAGGCTCATTAATGCACTTTGGGAGTGAAGGCTGGCCCGTGCAACCCAATGGATAGAGTGGGGACAAGTTATAATTCCTATCAGTTTTCTAGTGATGTCTATTCCAACCTAAACACAGACAGAAATAAAAATGCTTTTCTTTAGTAAAATATGGAAGGCTAGAACCCCTGACAGCTTTGTATTTCTGCCTGTATCCCTGTTGCAGATTTTACCTCACTTCCTGAATGATGAAACCGTTGTCAGTAGAACAGGAAGTGAAGGTAAATGAAGCTCCAGATAGCAGTAAAAACCCATCATGAATTCTAATCATGCCTTATTCTATCCAAAACAATACCAATAATACCACATACCTTTTACCATAAAACAAATATTGTACTTTACAATACGATCTTTCAAAAAAAATCTGGCCTTCCTATATGATAGTTATGCCAATTTGTATGTTAAGACATGGATGGAAAGGTTATGACTGCAACTATGCCTATACGCTACGTTTTGTTACACCTTATGACATTGTGAATGTGAATTGAGTGTATCTTTGTAACATCATATCTTGATGAAAAATAATATGTTATATATAGAAACAATAAACAAATATTATACAAAATAAAAATAAAAATATTTTTTATGAAATTAGTTGCACATTTAAAGTTGTACAAGCACATTATAATTTGATCTGATCTAAAGGAGCTTCTATAAACAATTATTTAGTGTGGCGGCCAATGTAAATTGTGTATGGACAGTTATACAGCTGAATATTTGGAAGCTTATATAAAATACAGGGCTTCAAACTGTCTTATGGGCATGCCATTTCTGATGTCGCTAAAACCCTAGGTTATTAAAGACTAGAAACAATTACTAGGAGACAGGGGAAAGAGTATTATTAATAGGGGAAATTTCTCTATAAAAAAGATAAATAATACCTAACAAAATCAACTTGCTTTTTTTCTAAAAAACAGCTTTATATAAATGAAAAGGTACACCACAATTAAACTATTATCACATTTTCAGTTGCAGTGGGTTGTAAGTAATTACAATCACATTAGTAATCACAACTTAGCCCCCGTCTATATCTCTAACCTTGTCTCTAAGTATCACCCTAACCGTACCCTACGCTCCTCCCCAGACCTGCTCTCTAGCTCCCTTGTCAACTCCTCCCAAGCTCGCCTCCAGGACTTCACTAGAGTCTCCCCCATTCTGTGGATCTCTTTACCCTAACCTGTCCATCTATCTCCTACTCATACTACCTTTAGGTGATCCCAAAAGACTCACCTCTTCAGTGAAGCTTATCCGACCTCATCCTAACCACTGAAATATCAATTTCTCAAACAATTCATCCCCACACAGCTACCTCCTTATGTATCACTTCCCCCTCCCTTTTAGATTGTAGGCTCTCACGGGCAGGGCCCTCCTTACCATCTTGTCTTGAATTGTATTGCCATTGTAATGTCTTCCTTATATTGTGAAGCACTGCGCAAACTGTTGGCGCTATATAAATCCTGTATAATAATAATAATAATGACTAAGTTGGTAAAGAAATTCATTTTGAAGGTTTTGGTTCTGTACAGATATGATGTGTGAGTACAATTTCTTTACCATTTCTTTAAACATAGTGCACCTGGAGTCTCTGCTCTACTACTACACATCACCCTTAGCAGGAAAGGGCTCTAGCATAGACTGGTACTGAGTAAAAGGACAGTTACTACAACTTTCAGCCATATGTTCACATCTAATAAAATCTCTTACATTCTGCAATCAGACCATAGCAAAGACTATATGTGACTCTTATCCGTTTTATGCCTGTGGCGAGCAAACTGAGCAGCCAGCAAAGATATTAAGATGTCTCTATTTTTGGCACTGTACAATGCTCCTCTGCTGTATCATGATGTGGCTGAAAATAATTAAAATATGTGCCTAGACCGAGGATTGACTTAAATTGTGTGCAAGACTGTCTGTGCACTGAATTAAACATTTATGTGTGTAATATTAAAAATTACTTCATTAAAATAATTTATTGTTCATTTAATTTAATATTATATACATATAGTACAGCACTTTTTACAACAGTCTTAAATTCACAGAATTTTTTCCAGACTGCAGTAATCTAAATTTTTGCTCATGTTCGGGAATCCTTTTTTTGCCCATATTTTGTATTTTTTCTATTTTACTAGAGTTAATACTCCAAGGAAAGTCATATTTAATTTGCTAGGCAGAAGACCTAAAATACTGTATAGTACATAAACATGACATATTAAACATCTGTTTGGTAATTTTGTGATTAGCATAGTAAACATATCAAATTTGTCAGTTTAATCTGCAGCTGTTTAAGTGGTTATCGGCTCAGCATTTTCTATTTCAGGTTTACAAGGTTTTATTAAAGAATAAGTGCACTTTTAAAACACCTTAAATTCTTTAATATATCTAGGGAAATTGGCTAAATTTGAAGATATCATTTTCTACCGTTTTACTTTCTCCTGCTGTCCTCTGAGAGCTCTACTGGAATCTGTATTTGCTCTCCCAACTTATATTTCCTGGATTATGGTTATTACAGACATTGGCACTAATTTTCAAACATGGGAGTAATTATATCAAAGAAACCAAGAAAAAAGTTTTGTCTCTCTCAAGAGCTAATGGGTAGCAGTCAATAATAGTCTCAATTCCCATGCTCTTCACACTCTTGGGGGGCTGCTCGTCCAAGGGATCAGGGACTCCTGTCATAAACATGTAAGACAAAAAAACCAAAGTGCCGCCTCCATGTGTAAAAACTTTTATCATGATAAAACGAAAAAGGTATAGGTACTCACAATGGTAGACAACTCTACCGTTGTGAGTACCTATACCTTTTTCGTTTAATCTTGATAAACGTTTTTACACATGGAGGCGGCACTTTGGTTTTTTTGTCTTACATATCAAAGGAACCATCCTAGGCATCTCTTTAAATGTGGACTCAGCCTTGATACAGTAGAACCGTGTAACTAGAATGTGTGCCTTTTCTCCCCTTCTACTGAGGTTTTTCTTCTGTTTTACTGTTGTTACCAGCCAATGCTTCTTTGAGGAAGGTATCATCCAAGCTGTACACAAGTCCAACATCTTGTCTGGCTACCATTTAACAGTGGTTGGACAACTTTAGGTACATCTAGCTGCAGTAGAGAGTGGAGAGTTGCAATGAGAAATCACAAACTCTCCAGGAGCTCAGTAAACACAAAACATTATTTGTAAAGGCCAACTTCATATTGGGCAGCCTAACTCCACTCATGTCCCCCCACACTTAAATAAGTTTTAATTTGCATACATACATTATTCCACATGTCTTCTGGCCTGTCACATGATGACAGGGGTCCTTCATGTCTTCTTTCTTCCTCTGGTGGTGGACAGTAATTATTGCTGCACAGAACAGTGCTCATATAGTGCCATGTGAGCACTTTTTGGCGCAGCAGTACTGTATACCCAGGTTAACATGACAATGCACCCATGGGGAGTGTGCTTGTGATGCTCTGGGTTCACAGGAAGTAGGTTGATAATGATGGGCATCATTTAACCCAGAAGAGGACTGGCAGCACTGGATAGAGCAGAATGTTTGCAGGGGGACAGCGCTGGGGAGAAGCACACGCTGGTTTTATATTTTAACAAGGCCTAGGCAATTTAATCTTTATTTAACAACTTACACTAAAGTCGGTCTTTAAGTCTGACTGTTCTCTGATAGATTTACTATTTATTTATTTGTCACACACATTTATATGCTGTACATTTAGTGCAGCTCTTTACATAATGTACATTAATATCAGTCCCTGCCCTCAAGGAGCTTACAATCTAAGGTCCCTTTCTTACATACATATAGTACATGCATACACATACTAGGGTCAATTTATGCAGCAGCCAATTAACCTGCCAGGAAGTCTCTGGAATATCGCACTCTTTATTAACTGAATAAGCCAAAACAACTTCTCTGTCACAGCTTACTTTTACTGCACTCTTGGTTTTGACCTCAGCAAGGTGATCCTAGTCCCATAGTACACCCTGAGGACACAAAGCCTCAAGTTCATTTTTTATTTCAAATTGTTTTTTTCTGTCACCACTAAAAATTAAGTTTGTTTGCACTTTACTCTTTGTTGATTTCAGACATAAAATTAAATAGTATATGCACATAAAAGTATATATAAATGTAATAAATACATGTATACATATATCATGTAAATGTGATAAAAAACATTTGTTTGCAGCAGATTTCAAGTGTTTATAAATTTCTATTTGCAAAAGCCAATATGTGACAGATCTTTTATTAAGTATCTTTTTAGCCCTCCCAAATGACAAACTAATTTATTTTTAATTAACCTATATAATATGCATGGGGTTAATTACCAAATTACTAAAGGCCCTTTGTTAACTTTGCAAGGGGCTTTTTACTTCGCAAGGGCATTTCCCCCTTAGCTTAGACAATGAGGTGAAGCTCTGCTACTTCCATCATCCAATCATGTGCAAGCAAAAATACTTTTTTTCCCCTCCATTGCACTTGATTGGGTATTTATACCAACTGAATTTTCACCATATTCACTAAGCTAAGAGAACATTTTCTTGCAATGTGAAAAACCTTTTTTCCTTTAGTAAATATACTCATTTTCCATAGGATCCTTTTCTGAAGGTGAAGAAATATATTATCTTTCTATATCCTGTGATAAGCACTCACCATATCCTGGGTCCTGTTATCTTTCCCCGATATGATTAGAAAATAGTTCCAAGCCAGTAATAGCAAAAGTGCCAATGGAATCATGTATATCTCAAAATTCCAGACCACAATGAGGAAGATCTGTGGATATAAAAGTACACTGAATCATATTTTATCTCGCAAACATGTAATAATTGCATATGGTAGATGGATTAGTTAGGAAATGTAAACATGTATGATCAACAGTCTGGAAAATTAAGGAAAACAAATAAAAGGTGTTCTAAACTTGGAGAGAAAAAAATATTTGTTTACAACAATTTATTTGTTAATCAATTACACTGGTCTACAAATTTTGGGAAATTATCAACCTCCGAGATAAAATGTGTTAATTCTTACATATTTTGATTAGATGAATTAGAAAACAGGTGATAAAGGTGCTGGTTGGCTAACATTTTGAAGATATTTCACAATAATGAGTTTTACACAGGCTAGTATATTTGCCTACAAGGGAGGGAGGTGTCTGATGATCATGATGCCTCGTAACTTCTCGACAAAGTAAGGTAGAACATTGAACATAGTACCACATGGAAGTGTATAAATGTATCTTCACTTTGAGACTAAAGATTATTACCTAACTGTAATTTATTGTTCTTTTATTGCAAGGTACATTTGTCTTGGTCAGATCTATGCATCATACAGTTTCATCTGGTGGCTTGTGAAAGTGTTATTGCCTAACATTTCCAAGGGACAGTTGCGTGATATTTTTCCTCAGAAGTCAAGATGCCTCAAAACTGTGTAAACAACGCAGATAACTTCTGCTACATTTGTGGCGGGGTTCCATTTGTATCTCTAAAGTGCAGTATGACGGCAGTGGTAAAAAAGGCATACCACCTATATTTTGGATGCAAAATAGGGGATCAGGACAAGAGTTGGGCCCCTCATTATTGTTGCATTACATGTGCAACTTGTCTGCATCACTGGCTAAGCAAGAAGAAAAAGTCCATGCCTTTTGCAGTCCCAATGGTGTGGCGGGAACCCACCAATCCTAGTAGCGACTGCTATTTTTGCATGGTCCCCCCAATTGCAAAAGGGATCTCAAGAAAGAAGAAATGAACTGTAGAATATCCAAACATTCCATCCACACTGCATTCTGTACCCCATGGTGATGGAATAAAGATGCAACCGTGTCGTTTAATATGATGTTAGTGCTTCTCAGTTTTCCATGCAAAAATGAATGGCAAGTTATGTTATTGGTATCAATAAAAAGATACATTTTTAATGATTGGTGTCGCACCATTCTCATTGCTCTATCACATTCTGCAGAAAAGTTATGGTGAATAATTGCACATAATTTTTGTAATTTTGAATTATTTTGATGCAATTTTGTCCTGAAGCGTTATCTTGGAAAATTGAGCTAATTAATACTCAAGACTTAATTTTCCTTTATTAGTGACCCAATTCTGGTAAAATGTAGCTACTTTCATTTCCGAGGCTTTCTCCTTGTAGACCTTATTTCCATGTGTGTGAGCATATGTGTGCACTTCTAATATACACTGTATGTTTTTGCCGTATTAAAGCTTGGAACTGCATACAAGGTAAATTGTATATACCCCATTCCCTCAGCAGAGTTTGGACTGCTGTGGTGTATAAAAAATGCTGCTTGCTGCACTTATGATAAAGAATAACTGGAAAAAGAGAAATGTAATTAACTGAACGCTGTCAGTTTTAGAGCCGGTTCACACTATCTGCGTTCGGGCTGCACTGGTTGTTTATTCCAGCACAGCCTGAACGCAAGACAAAGCAAATTGCCTTGTCAGGAATGGGCTTGGATCACACCACTGTGTTCTGGTACTGTGCACTTGTGACATTTAAATAAAGTTCTAAATAAAAAAAAGTAACAGTGTGATGAGTCTCGATCAAGCACATCGGCACTGTTTGTGTAAACATACCCGAAGTCTGCATCTGTTTTCAAAAAATAAGTATGTGAACAATTCTAAAGTTGGGTATACAAGCTACTATTTCCTTCATTCACGCTGCCGGCTAAATAAAGAAAATAGAACAAGTTCTATTTCCTTTGGCTCACTGGCTGCTAGCTCTGTTCTGCAGACAATTTTCTGACATGCCGCTTTGATCAGCTGATTGAGGGATGCTGGTTGGAAAGGTGCCAACAGGGGCACCTACCCATCAAATTTAGGCCGGTCAAAATTGTATACCTGACTTAGGTGTGTCTATGTGAACAAGCACAAATACAATCATATCTCTACATTAGATTCATCTCTGGTGGTTGGCTACAGTCATAAACACACCACCACATATGCCAAAAAAGTCATACATAAAAGAAAAGGAAATTAAATCAATTTGATAGAATAGGAGATTATCCTAATGTATTGGCTAAATATGACTTTTCATAGTATTATGTGTTTGAATTCTATTTCCCAAATATGAGAAAAAGTTTGAATCCAGTTCGGAATAATTGGATCAAACATTGCTAGATGTGGTCTTCAATTGAGTCATCTTTTCTCCATACATGGCCCAGGTATACACCTATCAGCTATAATAGGGTTAACAAGGCTACACTCTGTCCTTGAAGAGCTAGGAGGTCATTCACAGAAAACAATAATGGGAAATGAGAGGTCTACCCAATCTCAGTAGAATTAAGTACTGCAGGGATCTACATAATAGAAAATCACTATTCTCTTTTTTGTAAATAAAAGGAAACAATCAGAAATCAGTTTCAGAGCTTTTCCAACCTGTTAACAAATGCCCCCATTGCTAAGAAGAGCTATTACTTTGTTATTAACTCCAACTTTGGGCCAGCTGATGTACGTGTTACACAGAATCTAACAATTCAGTGCCTAAACCAAAGATTTTTGCCCTGAAAGCTCTTGTTGTGCATGGCATGGGCCAATGACACCGTTATCTGGGTGGGCAGGATACAAGAGAAGTTTAGAGTAGGAGACAACGTCTAATTATGCAAATTCAGAATGGCAACTTCCTGCTTCCTGTGCGTAATTGACACATTTTCATTTTTTATAAAGTGATTTTGTTTAAAGAAAAGTATTATTGCCATATCAAATTGTGTAATAATTTATATTTGAAATATATATATAGATATGAACCAAAGTGAGGCCATTTACAAAATAGAATTTACTATTGACTCCTTAAGTTGACAGAATATACTAGTTATTTCACAGTTGTACACTAGTTATTTCATGGTTATTTCTTTACATTTGAATATCTATTTTTTAATGGAGCAAATACAATTGGTCCACATCTCACCCTTGAGACATTGCTACTTTTACTTCAATGGTAAAATTATTGATAGCAGAGTAGCAGCAAAGTGCAATGAATTACAATGAGTTCTCTATGAATTCAAGAACAGTTCCACCTATTTATATTACTGATTAACACTTAATCATTATATAATACCAAACACCTTCATCTCACTGGTGTAACAATGTCAGATGAAGCGGAGGATGATGCAAATGTCAAGTCTGGTAAAGCATGCCTGAAGGTCCTTTTGTTGGAAATCAGAAGTGATTAGGAAAAATTCTTCTGCTACGGCTAACAGTAAACATACATAAGAAGAAACGAAGGAATTGCTTTTAGCGGAGCTGTGCGGAATAATAATGATACTAGTGATCACAGCATTTAAAAGCAAGTCATCATGTGTTTCACTGCAGAACGAATCCTGCAGGGCATTCACATGCTGCAAGGAGGAAAAAGGAGATACAAATCCCCATGGTAATGGGATGATTAAGCAATGATTACGCAGAGACTATAGCAAGGTGAATAAAAGGTGCTTGAGCAGAGTTCATTACTGGGACAGATCATAGTATACATTTCAGATTAAATGTAAAATATGAAGTTAAAGGATGTTTTGACCATAACTTATAGCAGTGGGTCTGTTCTGAAAATAAATGTCTATATTACCAGTAAAGTCTGTTTGCTTTCTAGAGAATACAATACATTTATCATTTTTCATGGCCTCATACCTACATGAGTTTACCATGCCCCTTGGTCATGCAGGGACAGGGCACATAGATCTCCATAGATCTCACTAAGGAATGCAAGTGTAAGCACTCTAATACTTTGCATACAGTATATAAGTTGCTTTTAGTGTTGCAAGTAATATTAACAGGCACTACAAGTGCTTGCATTCAAATGCCCTTCCAGAAAATGCAGATGCTTGGACAGCCCCAGGCTTTGCAGAGAATTTGTTATACAACTAATTAATTTTGATTACATTTCCCAATATTAATTGTAAATGTTTTCAAGCATCTTTCTGCAAAAGGGATGAAAAATAGGTTCAAGTTTATGGTGCCCATGACAGGAACAAGCATATCCTTAATCTTTCCTTATTGATGGCCATATAGCATTAATGATGGGTGGTGAGAAATCTGCTTACTGTCAACTAAACCGCTGCACAAGTCTTCTTCCCACATTGGCTACAGGCTTAAGGTGTTTCACATGCAGCTAAACATTCACAGGACTATTCACAAAAGGGTGAAGAGTTTGGAGGAGGCAGGACAAGTGAACAATCTAGGACAACAGAGCTAAGCTGGAAAGTGACTTGAATTGGATAATTTTTCCAAATCAGCTATTTTGACCTAGATTGTTCACTTCTCCTGTCTTCTCCAAACTCTTCACCCTTTTGTGAATAACCCTGTCATTTGGAAGATCTTATTCTTTCGAGTCTATTTTCCCCCTACAAAACCTGATTGCACCAAAAGATGATGTAAAGTATCTCTTTGCTTGCTTTAATTGTGATATATATGGCTAACCTTAAACGCTCCTCTTGCTGATAATGGTACACTTGCAAGTGTTTAAAAACCTGTTTTCAATATGTAAATATATTGTACAATTATTTTCTCCATGCATACCATAAGGTAGAGGATTAAATAGCTTTACATGTTTAATATATGGGTAACTGTAGTCTTATGATGTTTATTAGATATAGAGATCAGTTGAATTCAAACAATTTTACCCATGAATGTTCAGTTAGTTTGTATTTACTTCTAAGCCTAGTTGATAATTATACATGTGTAGTGGAAGAGATAACTCATGATACACAGTATGCATATGCTGCATAATGATTGTGCTACTTTGATCAACTCGTATCTTTATGCAAAGTTAAGAGA